CCAAACGGCTGGTGACCTTGGCGGCGAGTTTCAGAGCAGTGGCGCCTTCGGAACGGTGTTGGCGTCGCGCCTGGTAACACGTGCGAAACGCCTTCAAGGACGCTACGCAATGCATTCGCATTTCCTCGCAATGCTCTTCGGGCAAGGTGGGGCATTTTTTATGATAATGGCGTTCGATAAACCCTGGTGCTGTATACTATGAACTGTGCATTTCCCTCTTTTACTCAGGACAGCAGGAGACTAAACAAAGTCATTGTGAGAAACACGTCATCACTTCATTCTTCTTTTTTGCTAATCCCTCCTCCCTTCCGGATTGAGGACCGGAGCGCTGAGGTAGATCTTGAACCCTCGTATCCCCACCCCACACACACACGCACACACACGCGCTCGATCAAGAACCCAACATTTCGCATGCCTATGTCTGGAAATGTTGAAGAATATCTGACGGGATCTAGAGCTACAAAAAAGTGAGAAAAAAAGCACAAAACTGCTGTGTAACGAACGTATTGTTGAAACTGAAACTATACCGCTTAAAAAAATCAAGGAAGAAGACGCCTCCTTGCGTTTGAAATCAAAACTGCAGCTACTTGTAACTACAAATCGATCCAACCAGGAAGTAAGGACTTCAAAAAAAAAATGACATAAGCACGCTGAGATCAAAATGCGTGGGCAGCATAGCTGGGCCCACCACTTCAAAAGAGCTGCAAGAACAAAAAAAGTGAGAAAGAAAAGAAAAAGTGGCACGAGTCCGATGTGTCACTCGCGAAAAGCTAGCGAATGGGCAGATTGGTCCCAACGCTTTAGAACAATGGATATTTAGTCACTGAAATAGAGCAACGAAACGACACAATCAAGGCGAGAACACATTGCTTTGTCTAAAATAAAGCTACCATGAATTGGCACCAATCATGTTCTTCGACGTATTGGTTATTAATAGACGTGGCAACGCTTTCGCGCAGTAGAGAAAATGTAAAGGGAGAAATGGGAGGGGGGGGGGGGCAGAATAAAACGGAAACATTATCGAGTCACACGAGCCGTGCAGGAATCGACAAATCGCGTTTATGTAGACTCCGTGGATCGATAAAGGCTTCCTTACGACGGCGACAGCCCACGTGCCTGGTCCGAGGTTCTCACGCGAGTGGCCAATTGAGACGTCGATATTGCGACCGTCGAGGAGACGCGATAAACGCGCGGGTCGCACGCGCGCACCTTTGCATTGGTCAGCGCGAGGCTGTTGACTTCCACGGGTCAGTGGCTGTTTCGCCCTTCTCGTAGAACCCGAAATAAGCGCGTAACACTCGGAAAATTATCCTCCCTTTTCGCAGTTTATAAATGCGTTATAACTGACGGTGGTGTAGTCAGAGGGAAGGGGGTGTGTGTGTGTGCCAATTACTCCCCCCCCCCCCTCAAAAAATTTCAAACTTGATTGCGTATGTATACTCGCGCACAAACTAACGCAAGCACGAACAGACGAAGTATGTGGTTGAAAACCACTCCTCCACCTCGAAAAAAAAATTCTGGCTGCGTCCCTGGTAAACGACGTCGTCTAAATGATTGAAGGAAGGGAACATTTGAAGGCTTGTTTCTTTGTCTGGCATAACCTTAATTAAAACCAGCAAATAATTAGGTCAAGGTAGGTATAGGGAACGTTAATTGTATTGTTTTTAAGCAACGTAATTATTGCGATGCACTGTCGAAATTTTGGCTTGTTGATGCATTGTGACGACAGAAAATAGCGCAAAGAAAGGGGGCACAAGAGGAGGACACACGGCACAGGCGCTAACTTCCAACATAATCAACTTCCAACGCTTTTTATGTTGGAAGTTAGCGCCTGTGCCATGTGTCCTCGTCTTGTGTCCCCGTTTCTTTGCGCTATTTTCTGTCGTATTGCGATGCATATGCGAAGGAAGTGAAGTAGACGAAACGACAACTAGTTGCCGACAGGGACCGAACCTATGACCTTCGGATCACGTGCCCGATACTGTTACCAAATGAACAACCGCGGTGTTTATCCCCTCGTTTAGCCCACCGCGGTAGCCCAGTGGATAAGGTACTCGGCTGCTGACACGCTGGTCACGGGATCAAATCCCCGTGGCGGCGGCTGCACTTTCGACGGAGGCGAAAATTCTGTAGGCCCGTGTGCTCGGATTTGAGTGCACGTTAAAGAACACAAGGTGGCCGAAATTTCCGGAGCCCTCCACTACAGCGTCTCTCTTAATCATACGGTGGTTTTGAGACGTTAAACTCCACACATCAATCAATCAATCATGCAGTCCCCTTGTCCGATGTGTACTCCGATAAGTCGCACGTTCGCTCCCTTTCGGCGCCAAGTTGTCTGTTCGTCCAATGTGCTTTCTACTCAGCTATATCACAATTGTGACACAACACTTAGAAAACAGTTCAAGTTAGGTCCCCTATACTTTTCCTGTCTTCCTTACATGCTGGTTTTTCATTAGCTCGTCTACCTAAACGTTTATATGACCTATAGAACAGGTTCTATAAACGTTGATCTAAAGAGCCACTGGGAGCGCTCAGAGTTGTTTAACCGACCCTTGAAAATTTCGCATCGTGTTTGTATATTCATACACGCACACACACAAACGCAAGGGCGAACGTGCATAAAATGAGGTCGGACACCACGGAAATAAATTTCTGGATACGCTCGTGGCGATTTCTCATAAAGTTAGCGAATACCTAATTACAAGAACGCTTATTCTGAACGTTAATTAAGAGCCAACAAATTTGACCGTGCCGTTAACGCCTTATGGGGCTCTTATTAACGAACAAAACATATAATTGTATACGCTTTTTTTTTTCAATTCAATGTATATAAGTAGAGGTATACGCTTGATGGCAGGTCCGGTTATACGAACGCTTAAAGGGCCAGTCAAAAGAGTTTCACTTTTAAGTGTGAATACACTTTATAAGCGACCCCAAACCATCCACCGCCGCGGCGGCGTCCGCAGTCTTCTCTCTATCTTTAAAAGAAAGAGGACTTGGCGGGCCGTAGCGCGACGCTCTACCGAATAAGCCACGGACGCGACGCTGATATCGGTGTCAGTAACGCGCCTTATACCCCCTCCCCCTTCGCTCGCTCCTCCGCTCTCCTCGCTCGCTGCAGCTGCGCGCGCACCCCTCTCTCTCGCGCGCCCGCCTTCTCTCTCAGTCTCCCGTCGAGAGCGGGTCGTGAGGGGGAGTAAAGTTAAAATCCGTTGACATTCGCCAGTGAGTTAACGTAAACTCCCCCGTGTGATCAAATTGCGATTCCCAGGAACCATTACACCATAAAGGCACCATGGTGTGATTAATAAATATAATAGTGCGAATTAATAAATACCCCTCATAGCATCGCCCCGTGTATTCGCAATTAACCATGTTCACCCTCGGGGAAATGCTTGGGAATTTTTTTTACACCCCTTACAAACGTTCACACCGCGGCGATCACGATTTCCGAATATTAAAGCGCTGCGCGCCGCGCAGAGCCTCTATTTCGAAAAACAATTACCGCCTTCCTTTTCGGTTCCTTTTCGTGCTGGAAGTTAAAGGCGGTAAGGCCGCAGGTAATCACGACTGTGGAGCGGAAGCCGCTACACATGCGTGGAACAAGAGGGAACTTGCAACGACGGCTGCATCACCAGGAGCGAAGCCAGGCAAGCCTGTAGAAGGTAGAAACGTGGAACTGGCAGCTTGGTGTCTCGGTGCGCGCCTCCGTGCCCACAAAAATTTATTGTCAGTGGATCGTTTGCTGTTTGAATACCAAATTTGGTATACATATTAAGAGAGATAATTTGTAGGAACTGTCCTAAACTAAGTGATACTCTGTAATATATTATTTAATGTATGGCTCCAGACATATTGCCAGAATGTTTCACTTTTTTCCATTTCTCTTTTTTGGTAATATTGCGCCTCGTAGCAACGAGACGCTGTACTCTACGACTGCCAAAGCTATATTTTTAGAGATGATGTCTCGCTGCAGTGGTCTTAGACGATTGGGCAACGCGAGTTCTCCAACTAATATGCTATTGTTCTCGTGAACAGCTGTCTCACAATTGTCTGGGCGAAGTTTCTTGTGCATACTGTAAGTGCGTCATTTGGCTAATAAAGCAACCTTGCTTCCTCAATCATTTTTTTTCTCTTTTCTCTCCCCCATGCAATTAGCGAGGCACAATCAAGGCGCAATAAAATCACGTGATAATAATGACACGTAAAAAGTCAGCAATAGAGAAAATTTTCAAATTCGCGCCATGTAGAGCAAATGTACGACGTCGCTATACCACTTCCAATTGTGACGTTAATTTTCATTTTTTGTTTGTTGTTAGTTGTAGATGGTGACGGTGGACATAAATGGTGACGGTGGCAACAAGACCCCGATTACTGGATCGACGGGCTTCTATAGAAGCGAAAAGGATGCACGAATCTGTCACTATGTTCGCCAACCCTTTAATTTCAGCCATTATCTAATCACATGTTTGAGCCAGTTGTCAACCTTGAATCACACACTAACCATGACTTTTTCACACTAACCATGATCACACTAACCATGAATTCCTAAATGGAAGTGTGCGAATTGAGCAAGCTTGCACACGAGCTTCCATTTTGCTGTGTTATGACAGCAAGGTTTTGTTACCTCATACGCAATCTCATCAAAGGATCTCATCATGACTTGATGCATTTTCACCATACGCATCTGGTCATGGCGGCAGAACGTGCTGCAGGCAAAACGTACAAAAGCACATGTCAGTAAAGCCCGCAGCCTATACATTTTGAGAGTAGCAAATACAGCACACCCAATCGTTCACAAAATGGCAAACCCAAACTTCCTAGGCAAAGTAATAAATTCATAAATACAATTACAACGATGCCAGACGTTTCGAGCGTTCTATCACTTGCCGCTACGAGCAACTTGGTTCTAGAAACGTTGGCTACGAGGGCACCGGCAAAGGTGAATAAAACCGAAACTAGAACCATCTGTACTGACGGCAGCATGAGCGGCAGCGCGACCAGCGCATCATATGTAAACATGGCGGCTGGCAACGCGTTTCACGTGTCTGTCAAAACTTTAATAGGCGACTGGCACGGCCTGCAGGTACGTTGTAGTTGTTTCTCTCACTACACCGCGGCCAACGATGACAGTGAAATGCTTCAATCAGTGGTTTCTTAACAAAAACATATTTTTGTGCAAAAACGAACCCTCGGCGTCTCTTGCGCGTTGACTTGCGTGGTATGTGAATGACATATACTACATTGGAATTTTCCCCTTGCCCTTCTGGCTTCGCAGGTTGCCATCGAAAATGGTCAGGGTGGCCCTCAAGCACGGGAGAAAGAGCAGTGGCTCGTTGGAGTTCTGGAGCAATATTTTGCCGAGAACAGTGAGCAGTAGAGTGGCATGACCGTCTCGCACTAGATGCTGCAGTGATGCTGTGTTTGACCGCGGTTGTCACACGGTGCACTTTCTTTCGCGTTCGAATTTCTGGGCCGCTATTGGATTGTTTGCGCAAGCTGCGGAAACGAGCCAATCGCGGTACGGGAAATTCGGATCGGGTTCGATTGCGACCGAACATGATCGTGTGTCGTTGGTGGCATTACGTGAGTAATGATATCTGCTGTCCGCAGGTAACTTGCATCCCGATGAAGTGGCCGACTTGATAGCCGATATCGTCGACCACGAATTCGACTCCCTCATTGAAGACGGCAGCGTGGAGCAGGCGAGATTTGATTTACGATAACTAGAACTTCCTACCTTTCATTGTTTCTTAGCACATGTACGCTGAATTGTGTCTATTGCAACTTAGTGTTGTCTCGCGTGAAAAAAGGTTCCTTCTAGAAGTGTTTCGTGAATGCGTCAACACCGTCTTGAAGCTTGCCATAGTTGATATTTAACTTATCGTTACATTCCTTTTGCAATTTTGCTGATGGTTCGTTCATTCACTGAAGACGCGGTTAACCTGAATCGGGTGGACAATCACAGCATTTGTTGGTCTGTTGCACCGTTCACGACTATTCTGTCAAATGTATGCAAGTTGGATAGTGGCGCAATATTTGAGCACGATGTGTGAAACTATCGCATTGTAAACTGTTCTCAGACAGTTGGCTGTGCAGCCGCGTTCAGATAACTTTTTTTTTAGGGGCGAAGCTCCTTAGGGCGTGGGCTGTGCGTCCCCTGTAGCCTGTATGTAGCCACCTCTAGTTTAGTTCTTGCAGTGTTCACTAGATGGCGGTACCGTCCCCTGTATGTAGCCACCTCTAGTTTAGTTCTTGCAGTGTTCACTAGATGGCGGTACCGTCTCCTGTATGTAGCCACCTCTCGTTTAGTTCTTGCACTGTTCACTAGATGGCGGTACTTGTAGCTGACGATGAAAAGATGCAAGATGTTATAAACTAGATGGCGGTACTTGTAGTTGATGGAAGATGCGAGATGTTATAAAATAGGAATGATGTCACATATGACGCGTGTCATTGGTTGAAGGCAATCGTTCGATTTAGTGCGGCGACGTACGCTGGGGAGGAGCGATGTAATAAAATCGAGGGGGCAAAATGTACAGAGGATTCATGGTTTACCAGGTTTACCTCCGGAGCTTCGCCCACTCATCATCATTCACTTCGTGGATATGGCGGCACTTTTTTTTTTTTGCAGGCTCTGTAGCAGAATTTTTATTACACATAATCTCCGATGTCCTTGCCTGGGCATTCGTCAGTGCCATTTTGACTCTGCAAATCCGTGTCCTCCCATTGACTAAGCTTTCTTTACTGAACACAGATCTTGTAGTGCGGCCCAAAAGAACCTAAAATGTTCACACCTGCCACTGCTTGAACGCAGATATCGGCCTTGCTGTGCAAGCACTACCAGCTCTGCCTCGAGGGCCGGGAAAATGAGGTGCTGGAATCCCTGTCGCAAAGGCTCCCGCAAACAAGGACTCTGACGGTACCTGTAGCTGGAGACTACGACAGTGATGACGAAGCAGAAATGCAGGTCAGTTGATATCCTTTAGTTACACTAAATTTCGCTACAATTTCGCTAAAAAAATTTTCGATGGTGACATCTATTGTCCTTACGACTTCATAGCTTAAAGTTAGCCACCCGCAACAAAAGGCATACATGCTATGCACACTTAAGGCCAAATAGTAAGTGCATAGCAAGTTTGAAAAGCTTTCATGCATTAAGTGTTTCAAGCATGCCCTAGGAATGGAATATCGCTATCGCGTTCAACTCTTAAAGACGAAGCTCAAGGGTACCACCATTTTCGCTCTTCAGTGTCCCTTTAAGCGCGGACATGTTGCAGCTTGTATAGGGCACAGCTACTCAAGTTACCATTTGCTGTTGATGTTGGCCTCTTGCGTTCTTCTTTTCAGGACCACATTGACACAGAGGTGTCATCACAAATGGGAAGCCTTCAGCTAAACGGGCCTAGCTCAAGCCAACAGCCGTCGCGACGGCAGGAACCCGATGAAGATGGCTGGACAGTTGTTAGGCATGGGAGGAGGACATAGCCGTCATATATACTGCTGATAATACTGTAAATGCAATTAAATACTATATTGTGACTTGATTGAAGTCTCGAAATGCTAGTTGTAATCATTTTTTTTTCTTTCATCTCACGAACCATTTATTGCATGAATTAGGAAATTGCTGAAGAAAATTTTCCAGCTTTAAATAGCAATCTTCAAATGATTCCACAACTGAATTATCTGAAATGCACCTTTAATGGATACTTTTATGTATGTCAAGAGTTCTCCACATGCCACAGCAGCGAGGACTTTGCAATGAAAATGTACTTGAGAACTACGTAACATGTCGTGTGCCACAACTTGAGCGCATACACGCCAAATAAAAATGCCGCCCGTATCTTCGCTGTGGGGGAACTCTAGTAAATGCGTCGTAGAGTGGTCGGCGGATGGGATGGCGTGATTGTTGCATAATAAGGTATGGTTAGGCAATGCTTACTAACTGTCATTTTGTCTTTGTTATGATTATTTAGTGAATGAAGGAGGAGCGTTACCTTCAACGAGTGGTGGGACACTGATGTGCGATCCAGTGCCTACATATGCGGGGTGGCCAGTGAAGAGTTGTGCAGCTCTAACAGTCCGTTTTTACTAGAAGACAGTGCCTACATCAGCCTTGCGAGGTGAGAGAGAGGGGTGGGGGGCAAACAGTTGGCATGAGACGCAAGCATGCGGCACGATTCGCGAGCCTGCGCAGTTGGGGGTGGGAACACTGCCGCCGATGCACGATGCGAGACATCGTGTGACTAAAAAATGCTCCGCATTTTAAACAAAATTATTGAAGCTAGAATTTGCATCAGCCAGGTGAGAAAGAGCGAAGAAGTGGGCGCTCTTGCACGCACTTCACGCAATCGCTTCTAGTATAAAATGTATTAGCCAAGATAGCACTAGATTTTTCATGCTAAAAGCCACGCAAGTACTTGATGGTCAGCATTAAACGGTCGCACGCTCCCCGACTTGTTTGCTCGTAGCTTTTCGGTATGTCGCGAATTCGCAACATTATGTAGTAGAGGGTCAAAAAGTCATTGGATGATTGCACACCAAACATCCCAGCCACGAAAAGCCGTGCAGATTTTCATTGTATTGAAAACAGTGGAATATTTGAGAAAAGAGAATTCTGGTCTAGTGGCAGCCTTCTGAATTCGACAAAATGTCACTCAAGTGATATCGGTGATGTTTGAAAATATATTGTCACTGGATTGTTTTGTTCTTTGCATACCAAAGTCGGTATATATATTCAGCAGTAGAATTTGTAGGAAGTGTTCTAAACTGATACTACTACATTTTTTTAATATATGACTGGAAATTTCGCCAGAATTTTTTTTAAATATTGCACCTTGTATAGATATCCCAGTGATCAATACTTACTCCACGAAAGGTATACTATATTATGGTAAATTATTTTCACACCACACTGAAATTTGTAAATGTTACGAGAAAAAAAAATCCTGAATTTGAGAAAAGTCTTGGTGGCCGCACAGTAGGAAGGCAGGTCTCTTGCGAGTCCTTGAAATCCTTAAAACCCTTGAATTTATAAAGTTAATTTTCAAGGCCTTGAAAGTGCTGGATTTTTCACAAATCTGAATATCATTGAACTTTTTTTTCTTTTTCAATGAACATGGTCTCGAAGGTCACAGCGTATCATTTTTGATGCCGTAAATGTAGCAGGCAGCATATGTATTGTGCCCATCACAAAAGAATTGAAAACATCAGTAGCTTCTGCATGGAATCAACACCATGCATTTCTGGAATTTGGGGGAAAAAGCAGGAGTAAAAGGATGAGAAACAGAAAATGAAATGCTTACGTAAAAATTTAAAAAAACTAGAAGCTACTGTAAAGAAATTGAAACAGCAGACTCATTTACAGAAAATGCAAAGAAAATTAGCGACTTGACGTGCATCATGAAGTCCTAAATGAAATACAACTTTGAAACTTGTCATACTGAAAGTGATTACCTATGCAACTTAAACTGACTGAAAGTTGTTCAGAAAGAAAATGTCACTAGAGCCATGTGTTTGATGTCTGCTTCAGTGATGTTACCTTTTTTGATGAACTCTACCTATTTCAAGCCTTTATCTTCCCCAGAACATGCGTTAAGTAGGTTTTCGACAATGTAGCCCTTGAAAACTCTCGAATTCTTGTCACGTAAATGAGCATGAGCATTGAAAGGAAGAGGAAAGACGGGAATGTTCGCATGTCCCGCCATTTACACCACGTAGTGCTCAAACTAAACGTCAGCTTTATAGCCCCGCCACGGTGGTCTAGTGGCTAAGGTACTCGGCTGCTGACTCGCAGGTCGTGGGATCAAATCCCGGCTGTAGCGGCTGCATTTCCGATGGAGGCGGAAATGTTGTAGGCCCAGGTACTCAGATTTGGGTGCACGTTAAAGAACCCCAGGTGGTCACAATTTCTGGAGCCCTCCACTACGGCGTCTCTCATAATCAAATAGTGGTTATGAGACGTTAAACCCCACAAATCAATCAACGTCATCTTTATACCTCAATCATAAGCATGTAAATAGTTCTCACATAGAAAGCCTAACCCCCGAATGCAGAGATGTTACTTGGCTCGCGACTTCAACTTAACTTGAGCAAGTCGGCGCGAAGCAAGCAGCGGACTTCAAAACGCCCAAGTCAGCCTTCGCGTTTCATAGATGCTCAGGCTGTCTTGCTTGGTCAAGTCAAGAACGAGCTTCAAAGCAGAAACACGCTGCTCGCCTGCTAACGAGGGTAATAATGAAGTTGTTCGCGTAAGGCATGCATTACACCAAAAAAAGACCATACGTTTTAAAATAACTATAAAAACGAAGGGCCACAAGCATATTCTTGCCATTTTACGGCTAACGAGCGGCACGTGGTGCCTGCCACCACAGCGATGCGCAGTGTTGCTTCTGTAAAGCGTTCGTTGCCCACTGGTTTTAGTGGCCATCCAAATGCGGTGCGTTTCTCCACGGTCGCTTGTTTGGAGGCGAAACAAGCATCGCGTTGGGTTCTTTCGTAGTTTTTTTTTTCTCAATCGAACACCATGGCATGTATTTGTGCTGACCTGGCTCACGAGGTGATGCGATTTCCACGGTATTTGCCTTTCTGTTCGCCTGTGTGCATGCCTGTCGCAGTTATTATGAAAAAAAAAAACAAAAAAAACAAGTTCTGGGAACAAATGTCATTCGTATCATTTTGTTGAGCTTCGTAAACAAGAGAAAAAGCGGGGGTCAGGACATTACCCTCAGCAGAATTCTGTCTCGCGGGGTGCAGCAATGTATCGCTGCATCATGGTGACGCGGATAAAAAAACCCGTGATAGGGGCACCTCTTTTTTTATGTGTGTGTAATTTTACGTAGCGTTGTGCTACAAGCGATGCCTTTCTGAGCGAGAAACAGCGCCCTAGACGGGACGAAAGGATAGACGAGGCACATGGACACAGCACAGAGTCATTTTTTTTTTACCGAAAGAGACGGAAAATGTCGTCGTATTATAGAAAAACAGAAATAGCCTTTGCGGTTACGGAACACTTCGGCATTGTCGACACCGGGGCTATTAATACGCACGTGTGTGTAGTCGACACAACCTGTAACGCAAGGGAACTCAGCCACTTCATAACAGTCCGCCGGCTGCGGAAAGCGCACCAGCATCGCGTTACAGGTGCTTTGCGATGAGTAGCGTAACTTTTCCGATTGCACGACACACTGTCGACTACGGAATGCGGACGAAATTTCCGGTGACTGGTTGGAATATGCCAGCGCTGTAAAACCTCAGAGCCATCAGTAGCTGTAACACTGGATGCACGGGCTGTCTTCGGTTGTCCCCACTTTCACGGAGCGGCAACATAACGAGCAGCTGCCCCTCGGCGTTCTTCATGAATCTGTACCTAGCGTGGAATTGTTGCTCGTCGTACAACTCCATCGGATTTACTTGGTCACGTAAAGCGGTTCCAAGAATCTTCGGCAGGCAGTGCGCCTAAAAAAATGCTACGCTTATGGCGAGGCAAGCAAACTCAAAAGCGGCCACCTTTCACGCGACGTCCATTCGAGAAGTGGCCATGTTGGAATAACGCGTGAAGTCGCTTTCAAGCTAGCCCCGCAGCTGACTGACTGAGCCAAGCTGACCGAGCCAAGTCGCCTTCAAGTCATCCGCAAGTTCGAGAACGACTTATGGCGACCGGCAAGACTGTCTTGAGTCAAGAACGAGTCAAGTAACATCTCTGCATTCAGGGGTTATTATCCAGAAGGGGGGGGGGGGGGGGGTGCTTGTTTAAGATTTTACGGTATGCAAGTAGAAGTGAATTTCTCCCTTGCAATGTGGTTGTACAGGCATTTTAAAAAATGGCATATGTTAAGGCCTAAAACCATTATTTCAGGTTCTTATTTGTGTTGACTTCCTGGAAATTCGCACAATAAGAAAGAGCGAATTTCATTTTAAAGAGATCGACAACCAATTTTTATGGTTCCCATTTTTTTGGAACAACTGAAAGCTTGTTGGTCAGAGTGTCTCATCACGGAATGGCAACACTGAAACACCATGAAACATTTGCTATGAAACACCATGAAATCAGAATTTTCTATCTGTGGCGAATATGTATCTTACATGCACATGGGAAGACATACTGCAGATAGTGAGTGCGAGAGCAGTTCGAGCGTGGCGGTTTACTGCGCATGCGTGCACTCTGTGCACATGCGCTGAAGCGCGGCATGGTCCACTGGCGGCCGCAATGGCAGCGCCGCTCCTCAACGCGCAACTTTATTTTGCTTCACAGACGGTACAGAATTGAGCGGTAATAGATAATAATATGCATTCTAATTTTGAGGAGTAACTATGGCATACATGGAAACAGCAGACCACGAGACTACGCATAACCGAGTGGCAGATTCCGTGATTCAGCTTCAAGGCTACTTTTTGAAGGCCGTGTGAAATGCCGGCTTTTTGTTGTATTTAAGCACGATTTAAAAATACAGATCTTACTCGCAAAACGATAGGATGCTGGAATCTGTAGCTATATTCCACAATCTTATCATTTCAGCCATGATCCAATCACGTGTTCTGATCAGTTGTCAGTCTTAAAGTACTATCTTTGCGATGAATATGACTGAACATTCAAGTTCGCAGCTAAACAAGCTCCAACCATGCACACAAGCGTTCTGTTACAACTATGAACTGTTTGCTCACATGCAATATTTGGAGCCCATTTGGTTGCAGAAATTGGTGCAAGCAACAGCAGAAGCTTGTTCAGCCATGCGCTCACATGTTGCAAATTTTATCGAGTTTAATGGTACAATGCGTGCTACAATATCGAGAATATAACGCACTACAATCCGGATGGAATACAAGCCGCGGGCACCGCTTCTCAATGTTTGCTGAAGCATGCACAGTTTGTTAGGTCGTAAATGAAGTATTCTACATGATTCTTCTTGTAATGAATGTGGCGTATTTTGTAATATAATAATATCCAAGGTTTTACATCCCAAAACCACGATATGACTATGAAGGACGCCACAGAGGAGGGCTCCATAAAGTTTGACCATCTGGCCTCGAGCAATGACATTGCACAGTACACTGGCTCTACCATTTTGCCTTCATCGAAATGCTACCGTTGCAGCCAGAATTGAACCCGCGACCTTTGAGTCAACATCCACCACAGCGGACCAGGTTTCTCCCAAGAAGATTTTTCGGGGCAGATATTTTGAAAGCGGCCAAGGGCAGAGATAAGGTCAAGAATTTAAAACTTTCACACAACTTATCGTTGCTGACACTCATCCACGTTTAATTTCTGGTCGGCTATGTCTGCTAGCTGTGACGCACATCTGTTGCCTCCAATGCGCAAGCGGCGACACCAACATCTGCACATATAAAGAGGAAGCAAGGACGCTTGTGTTAGGGTGCTCATGCTCGTTATCGTTGAGGTTATGAAGGGCATCTGTTCGGACTTCATTTCAGGAAACTAGGTGGCGGGAGGCACTGCCTGCTAGTGGAGCGTACGTACGACTACATCATTTTAAGAAGAGTATCTTAAGTGGACTCTCCACCCAATATTGTTGTGCATGCACAGTTGCCAACTGAGGTGCAGGTTTCCAAGAGTTGTACCGTGGTGAAGCAGCGCAAATAACCGGGACAATCGAGGCACACAAACAACCACACGCAGCATTGGTGTGGTTGTCTGTGTTCCTTCACTGTCCTGGTTTTTCGTGCCGTTTTCCTATGATATGTTCAGCCAACTAGACAAGCTGACCTTTCCAAGAAATCAGTTGCAGCAGTGGGAGGCATTTCACAGACGCCCGCTGTGGGAAGAACCCCGTTTGCGGCGTATATGCACAAAAGTACTTAGGTGTCCCGCAATGGGGACATGAGGGGCCAGTTGCCCTCCTCCCCGCACCCAACTTTGAATTTTATCTACTCAGTAGAAATAAGCTATACAATTATCACACTCTGGTCTCGCAAATACGAGTGAAACGACTGGCAGTATTGCCAGCCAAATTTGCATTTTACACACTGTTGAGTGTTCCGGTCATGTTACAGCAGTCAAAGGCTGCCTGTTTTGGACGCCTCCACTCAACAACCCTTCACCCACTTATTGCAGATGCAACCTCTTGCAAAAAGTTCCGAGAATTCCTTGGTATAACCAAGCAGCATAATGTTGCATCGAATTGCGCAATGTATATTAATGTCCGTCACATATGATGGACTAGATTTTGGCAGAGAAGACATGCTGTCTGTGACAGGCATCTCCAATTTGCATAGTATATACTTCCAAGTATCATACTTTCCCGCACATAACTCACCTCTGCATACAGCGCTCACCATCAACTAGAAGCAATGAAAAACTTATCCCCATGTATTGCCATGAGGCCTATTTCCTTCCATTAGTGATGTTGGAGACCATGATGGCTACTTCTGGCTGCTTGTATGCTAATGTGGCAGTAGGTAAGCTACTTAATTTCAAATGGGTAGCGTATAAGAAACGAATACAAAAGATACGAGATGCAGACAGCACAAGCACTATGCTATCTACGTCTCCATCTTGTGCATCCGCGTGTTATGCGCTGACCATTCGAAGTGATGCATCTCTACCAACCTCCAATTTCCCGCACTTATAGCGAGGCTACTGTGTGGTTTTGGTTAGGAGAAGCTCCTTTTAATATGAATCTATGTTCTACTAGCTGCAAGACCACCTAAGATGACATGAATGACTACTTTCTGCAAAATATGGCCTGCTATGTCGAAAATGTCTAGTACAATAATGGCATGGGTACAGAACAGAACATCTTTTGCACATGCACATAGGGAAGCAATTCTCTTACTTTATACGAAATGCCTCTTACAATGGGGGTTTTCATTTTCTGACTAACTCGCATTTCGACATAGACACAATGGTGTCTTCGTAACCGAGTGTCTGTTGCAGTCAGTGTCTTTAAAGGGGCTCAACTATATCTAATTATAGTTAGAGATTAAATGATGACAGTTTTGTATTAGCTTGTGAGTGAGTAGCTCTAATAGGTAACACAGATATAGCCTAAATGCCTGTAGGTTCTAACCTCGACCTTCTCACAAGGAGTAATATGATGCTTATTGAATAAAAAAAATATTATGAGAGGTGTATGCACAGGAAAGAACATGCATAAAAATATATTTATGGCTCTATACCTGCTATGTGGTACGTGCTACCGATAGTGCGAAATTTCATAATGTGTTGTAGCGCATCACAGCAAGAACCGAAAAGGATAGATGGATGGATGGATGGACAGACAGACACACACATACGCTCACTCAGTCCCTGTTGTTACAACATATGAATTATGGAGTATAACGAATTAGCCCAGCAACATGTATAGCAAGCAGAAAATGCATGTACAGTGGCTGAAGTTGCCTGCTACATAATTAGCCTGACACCCTTAATACTTAGCAACACAAGAGAAAGCAAACATGAAACAGCCTTGTACAAGAAGCAACTTTCTTTTAATTTGTAATTATGTATAGTACCACCTATGTATAATATATAGAACTGTACATAAAAAAAAGGTGCAACGAGATCACTTAGACAAAACAAAAAAGAGGGTTTCTCAAAATGCCAGCTCATATTCATAACAGGGGTAGCACACCTTTCTTCAACAGTATTTCAAACAAATACCCATCTCTAAGAAACGGCGCTCGACGCAGCAATACAAGCTTGGCCATAGAACAGCACACACACATGTACAAAAAAGCCCTACAAACAGCTCGCACATACTCGTTCACGTTGGCACAACTTTCCGTCGACACCTTTACATAGTTCTCTCGTAAACGTCATCACTAAAAAAGCTCGCGAAAGTTGTATAAACATGTCATGCAACAGATTCACATTTCACACTTTTTTTTTATGCCCCTGCTCTATTCCACGCACGGGTTCTAAAACTTGTTTTCCTAGTCAATACAAAAACGTTTTTTTTTTTTTTTGTTTAAGGTGACTGTTTGGTCGTCTCGAATTTTTAAAGGTGACTATTCGGTCGTTTATGTTTGGGACTCTGAGATCAGTCGGAGAACCAATTTAATGCACGCATGTGACTGTTGTGAAACAAACCAGCACAGTTTGAGCACAGCACAGTTTGAGATGCCTTTGCCTTGCAGAGGAATGCAATTCACAATTAAATCCTTTGCAATTGACAATTGCAAAGGATTCCTATTCTTCGCCTTGCAAAGGATTGTGCGCTCAAGGTTGCAAACTTGCAGCCGCAATATGCAGGAGACGCATCTCATTATGAAAACGTCGCAGCTAACATGAAAACACATTCGTTCACGCTAACGTTCGTTGTAAGCATACACGCTAAATGCATATTTTGTTTTTATAGAGCTATTTCACTATATGCCATAGTTCATTAAATCAAGATCTAACCACACCGCACTGAATTATTTCAACAGCATTTTAATTAATGCAGAGAAGGACGCCTTCTGAACGACATGCCAAACTTGCCTTAGCTACGCGCCCGAGTGAGGTTATCAATGGAGGTGGTGGCGAGCAGAAGGGCCATGTCACATTTTTCATTGTCATTGCCATACCCGCAAAAAAGCACCCCCAACAAAGACCTTGCCTTCACCTAAACAAACGTCCATTTACCTAACACTATTGCTTAAATCGTTATCTTTAATTGCTAGCGGCAGTCAGTTACCTCCTGTTGTAGAGCAAGAAAACTTTAGGAGCGGATAAAGCCCCCAACTCATGTTGGCGTGAGCAGTCAATGACATAAGAACATGAGAGAAGTACTTGTTTAAAGAAGCAGACGCTGAGATGCATAAATGATTGGCAAAAAAAAAAAAGTTGACAAAGCTAACCCATGCACACTGAATGCAAATTGATGTTTTGCTTATGGGCCAATTATCTGCCTCATTATTGCTGCCCATAAGGTATCCAGATGGCAATTCATTTACTTCAACACCTAAGAAGGCAAACAGCTCACAAAAACATGTCCTACTTACTTCATAGTCAAGTGTCATGACATCTTTGTAGTGTTGCGTGTACAGATGCACATTTAGAAAATGTCTCACAAAACAATGAAACGACCCAGCAACAAATTTGGTTTTCTTGACAAATGTACACATGGTATTGTTACATCCAGAGAAGCACAAAGGAGGGGCGGCAAAGCAATACGTTAAACTTGAAAAACAGTACAGCTGGTTTGTTGTCATGGTAACGTCAGCAGCAGGAAAGTTCTCACATCTCAGATCATGGAAAAACGAGACCTTTGTGCGAGGAGTTACTGAAGTAGCATCCCTCAAAACACTCTTTGTAAACCGTACAAGCCCCTTGATAGTTAACATAGGTTTATCAAGAGCATTAAAGAAACTTGCACCACTGGCAGGTACTGCCTGGTAGAGTGAGATGCCTGCCAAGGCATTCTACAAATACCTAGTTGCTACACATAAAACTGGAACGGTAAAAAACACGGTTGACAAGGAGAGAGGTCTGTGGTTCTGAGTGAACATGTGCAATGCCAACGCTTCCAATTTTTGGCAGGCAGCCCCATTAAATGTTGACCCCCAAAGTAGAGAAGAGCACCCAATAAAGCAACCTCAGAGGCCACAAATAATCTGAAGTTGGGACAACTCACACCTTTGTTACTTTCATGCTTTTGCACAAGCAAAAAAAAAAAAAGAAAACAACTACAGCCAGAGACAGCTTTGCATATTTATCACGAAGTAAACCAATGGGTACCTTATGTTGACTTTGTGATGTTGGATTCCCTGACTGCACTACATTTCTGTTTGCATATTGAGATAAGACGCACCATGCACACTAGTGAGATAACATTTTTTTGAAACTGAGAAAGTTGGGCCGTTCAAGTGCTGCTCAAGCGCTAGACAGCGTCTTCAGATGAGCGTCTGGCTAAAAATACTTGCGATGAATTTTACCTGAAATTGGTCATCTAAGCGGACAAATCAAATGCTATGCAATGCTAATGCTGTAAAGCGCCATCACTTTCTAATGTTGTACAGGATGCATGCCAAACCCGACTGTTTCTTGCAAAAGTATGTGTGTGGCAGCTCTGCCTCCCGTACCTTTCCTTCTACTGTAGCCAATAAAAGTTGCCCGTGAGTATAGTTTAACACTTAGTTGGACAAGACGCCATAGGAGGAAGCCCAATTTCCTGATTGGTTAAGTAAGTGTAGCTCCCAGCCAATGATTTTCACTCTCTGTTGCGATGAACGGACTGTAGAGAGCTAGAGTTCGTATCTTCAGTGGACTGTGTTAGTGGAGGTCACTCTTGCGTTACAGCAAGCTCTACCGAGCATTCCAGCAACGATTTTTTATCGCAGACAGCGCGCACTCCGAGGACTGTTCTCTCAACTGCTTACTTTGACGGAGATAACTGCCACCGTGCCAGCGTACAACTAAATCAGTAGGAATTTTACTTTTGCCTCAAAAAAAAAAAAAAAAAAAAAAAAGTGGGGGCACAAATTTTCAGGATGAAGTTGCGTGGAGAGCATTAAACCTACGAGGCCTGCTTCTAGTCGTGGCAGAGCACATAAGCCGGCGGCCAGTCACGTGATCAGTAGGGCCGAGATCACTGCTGTCTCAGATACGTAAAAAACTCGTGAATCACGAACTTCGCACCACAAAAATATTGCAGGTCTACAAACTTCATGTTTCTTTTTCAATCATAGCGGTGTCCTCTAATGAAGACCACACAAAAAAATACTACCTCACTACACCCTATTTCGATCTGGGATCACCTGCAATCTGCTTTATTTCTACCCATGATTCAGAAAACCAGAGTTGGTACAGTGAAATGTTGATATGAGAAAGCACAGCTGTATGAAATTAATGACTTAACTCTCTTGCCTTCCCTATTTTGGGTGCACTAAAAACAACGAATTCTTATTAACCGCGTACCCACATTTCCCTCTATGGTGAATAAAAAATTTGTAGAGATTAGTTGAGAGGATTTCTTGCAGGTTACCTTTTACATAGAAACATAGCTGGCAGTCAGTAAAAAACACTTGAGCAAAAGGAATCAAATGCACTACTCTCCTATCACTTCATCGCATAAAAGCTAACTGGGCCAGCCAACTCGTAGTATGCCCAAACATTTTTCCAGCACATTTTCTGTAAAAGAAAGGACATGCTGACAGGTGCACTCGGTATAAATGTCGGGTGTGTATACTAAGAAATTTTGAAAACAGAGAAACATTGCGATTTTTACTCACTTTGGTATATTCAGGTGCGACTACTACATAACAAGCTTTCTGCTGCATAGATGATTTCAATATACCGAAATATGACAGTCCAATAAAAGAATTACTCATGCTCAAGTCTTATTCTTATCGTCCACCGTTTGCACCCAGTCATTCCTGCTAACATGGGTGAAGCATCAATTGGACCACTGGCAAAGAGTGAATGGGAATACCATTAAAACAGTATCATTCATCATCATCATCATCATGAGCCTAACTACGTCCACTGCAGGACAAAGGCCTCTCCCACGTTCTGCCAGTCAACTCGGTCCTGTGCTTGCTGCTGCCAATTTATACCCGCAAACTTCTTAATCTCATCTGCCCACATAATTTTCTGTCTCCCCCTAACTCGCTTGCCTTCTCTAGGAATCCAGTTAGTTACCCTTAATGACCAGCGGTTATCCTGTCTACGTGCTATATGCCCAGTATCATTACTTCATAGCAATCTGGCCGTATCTGTCAACCTGTAAAGTGATGAAATGGAACCATTGATAAATGTAATCGATGAACAACACAGCCTTCAAGTAAATCAAGTTGCCGGGAAACAATGTTTTTGAGCAGCAAGCAATGCCCAGAAACCGAAGATAAGTGCTCACGCCACAGAGCAGGAATATTTAGGAGACTGCCATCAATATGGGCACGCGTTGGCGACCAGATAACGTCGTGACACTATCATGCGTCGAAAGAGGCACATGCAGTGGTATTTTAATAATGTTTGGTTACGTATGGTAATATTTAGTTAGGTATGCTACGGTATTTGTCGGCTTTCAGTGTGCTGAATTCGAACCCACGTTCTTGTCGGTGTATTTTGGAGGGCAGTAGGGGTCAGCAGAAATTAAAACTGTCAGGCCCGTGGCTTCTGAGAAACAGATGCATGTGGCCGAACACACTCTACAGCCTCAGTCAGTGTTCCCAGTTGAACACATGACCGGTTTCTTTAGCAATCAACCTAGTTGCAATTGCCTTGTCAATTGCTAGGTGGTGCCAGTTTAATACTGCTCCGCAGGAGTGCGACATTATCTGGTTACCACATATAACAGAGTTTGAACTCCTAAAGGTTTCTCGCTCCATGGCTCCCTCAAATCTTGCTAGAATCATTTTTTGCTTTAGCTTTATCAAGCTGGAACGCTTTGCAACTGTCACTTGTGAACTGAGCTTTCTTACTCTACTCAATGGACAAGTATGTGTCTGTGCGTGTGTAAAGCCTCCCAAATTTTTAACTGCCAAATACAATTTACCGTACAGGAGGATGAGCGATTCCGAATTATGATTTTACGCCCCGAGTGCATGCCCACGACGGCAAAACGTGAAAGACGTGATGACGGTGAACTAGGGCGCCCACTGATTAGTAGTGGAGGTCCCGCGTCGAGCATCTTCGTTGAATTCCCGGGATGACGGCGTCGGTACTTCTACTTTCCCTGGTGTGCCGACACGGCAGTGTGTGTCAGCGCACAGGTGACTAGAGCCTTCTGCCCTGCTAGACAAGGAAGTCCTTGAGGAGAATTGAACGCCTCTTCTCGGCGACATCCATCTGGTTTTCGAGTTCCTGAAACGAACAACTCCATAAGGATGCAGTGCTATTCACCACTATTAATGTGACACTAAACAGAAAAAACACCACTGTTTCACAAAACCCACATCACCACACTTGCTGTGAGACGACACTTTGTAAGAGAGATGCACAAAAGCAATATGTGGTTGAAATTCTCGCACCAATCAGCCTGGCTTCACAGATTTTGACATTTACTAAGGCCTACATCATTCCTATCTACAAAAATTGAAGCAGCACTGAGACAAAAATGTTGCACCCCCCCCCCCTCTTTTTTTTTTGCAATAGCTAGCTTACGAACCACTTACCCAGGCTGGAAACCTCATTTGCGCGCATGTGCGGTGGTTATTCATTTAAAGACGTCTTTAGAGCGCCTAGTCTTGGCAGGAGCAGTTCCGGAGGCAAAGAAAATACAGCTAGCCGCATGAACGTGCTAAACTGTGACGTGGGTGCCGTGCGCGAGTGTGCGCGCTGTGCTCGCAGCCAGTACACGCGAAGCCGCAGGCACGGAGTAGGAGATCGCAGGTGGCGCAAGTACAAGGCGCGTGCCAGCCACGAGCCAACACTTGTAGTGTAGGTTTGTTCACATCGCCCCCGCGTTGATGTCGGCATCGCGAAGGGCTGCGAATTTCGCTCAGTCGCATGACAAGCCCTTTAAAATTGATTTTAAGAACGCTCTAGGCTATACTTGCTCTTGACATGTCGTAGATGTCGTGTATGTCTACACATAAATCTATCTTGGTTATTACGTTACCTTCAAAATTTTGTGTCAGCGCTTCTTTTGGTACATTGTCCTCTGAAGGAGTTGTCTTTTACATACCAAGTTTCAATTAGTTTTGTTGAGCCATCATCGACAAAATTTAAAACATTCTCTGAAATCATAACGTCACGCATGGAGGTTTCGGAGGAAAATCTAAGTAGAACTTTGAACTCAGTATTCACCTCTATTATATGCTTACGATATTAGTGTTTCCAAAGCATAAATTATCATTTTACATTGTTTCACTTTACTTTTTTTAATTTGCGCAGTTTTGTAAGAGTCAGACATTTCTTTTTGGTATGATAATGAGGTGCACCCCTATATACGAAACCGGGCTGTTTGGTCTATCTTATTCCCAAGTGAGCATGAAATCTGCAGTGAAAGCACACTACCACAGCAGCAAATGATATCCTTTTCATAACAAATTTATTCCGACTACTCTCGTCTTCACTCTATCTCTACCATGCTGCTTATGCATGGTTTTACAGTAGATTTGTGGAGTACTAGTAATCTTCTGCGACATGCATGGTGCTGAAGATACTCTATTTCTAAGCTTTTACTCTTTTATTAATTACTTGAAATTCATTAGCTGCATTTTTTTGCCTAATTTCTGTTCTCAGTTGGAATTTTTTCCCTCTCTCTATATTTCACGTTGCTAGGTAGGGGATGTACTCTTTTGCAAAAGTGTCCAGGGTAGTCATGCGAAAACAATATTAGATAATTCATAGCAGTGCAGCCGAATTGTTCTATAAAAAGCCATTCCGAACAACTACCATAATTTGCACTTAATGCAGATCACACACAAAAAAAACTTTTACGGGTGCTTCCCTTTCCTTCCCAGCAGCCTCATGACACGATTCTCACACATGCATAGTGATGCCATGTTGAAAAGCACATTAAAACAATAGCTTTTGTCAACGAACCAAACAGTTGCACTAACACGCTAACACTAGCAGCTGTACGCCTTCAAAAGGTATCCGACAACACCGAGATGCAGGCTTGGTATCGTGGAGCGAACTTATGCTTTATTCTACGCTGCTCATATCATCCCTGAGCTGCAGCTGGCTGATTTTGTTGATAGCACGAAGAAACATCTGCTCTGATCAGTGACCACAATGGCCAAGCGTAAAAAGAACAAAACACGCAGGCATCGGAAAAAGCTTCGTTCTGCTATTACACACAGCAGCAGTGCAGACAACTGAGCTTCGGATTGTCTGTGGCTAAGAAGTAAGCCAATGGCAAAAGCAGGACAGCCTTATTGTCGTCGTTATCAAGCAGTGGCGGCCCCATGTTTAGTAAACAGTGGTGGTTTCTGGTAGTGCCAACGCACAATTTAGACTTCGTAGACTTATATTTATGCTCTAATATTGCATCAGAAAGGTCAATATCACGTTTACTCTGCACAGCATTAAATATCTGAGCCTAGACTGGCATCGTAAAATTTCGTTGAAGCGGCATTCGTTGTGGCAAGGTTGAACTGTACTAATAGTGTTGTGAACGGTGCACATGTTTCTTGTTTTGTTGACGGAAGCTTGGCAACAAGCCATTTCCTGTTTTTAAGGACACCGCTTCAGTCAGTTGCTAGGAGAAAACGAGGTGCTAAAAGGGGGAAACAGGCGGCGGAGCGGGGTAGATGAAAAGAAAGAGCGATAGATAAAAGATGTGTGAACGACTGCTCAAATGCTTTCCTTGAGATATTCGGGAGTTCCTTCATTCCTACAAGTATCATAAAACAAATGCAGTGTATTCTATCGAACTGTGCCTTCCCTGATTTACATCTTAGGGAAGGAATTCCCTACAAACAGCTTGACGCGTCGACACGAAGCATGCAAACAAATCTAAATTACACACACGTCTTTCTGACTGTTGTTACCATGAGAAAAAAATTCCACGCAATGCTCAAGTAGGTTTGTCTTCTGCTGGCTAGACAAGCCAACCCAATCTATTGGCCACAAATGCCCACAAGCAGCTACAAGGTACGCATGCATAAAGCATGCCCGCAGCTCAGTGCAAGTCAAAATGCATGGCTGGCTACATAGAGTGCTATACAAACAAACGAAAAAAAGATGTACCCCTCTGTCTGTCGTCTCTGCACGTTCCACCTTCCAGGAGAGATTCTCTATTTCAGCTTCTAGCGTTGCTTGCTGGTATTCAAACTGCAATTAGTAAACATACAAAAAACACCTCTTAGCCAGACCTTCAATGAAGTCACTCCCTCCCCTCTCTCTCTACTTATTTGGTCACACACTATTACCCATCTTTTTAAACAAAACAGTTCAGTGGACACTGCACTGACAATCACTATTGATTTACTTGTTCAACAGAACACGCAAAAATTTAAACATTTTTTGCATAAAAACTCGGGAAGTTCAGCAAACAAACTTCCATGGGAGAATGGGTGCATAAGTCACAATGCAGAACTGCAATACAGCAGTTGCAAGCATTAGAGATGCGAGATAGACAAGTAGAAATGAATCGGAGACATAACTACTAATTAGCACAAAAACGCTTAATAGCAATAAACAACTAGAGTAGGCGATGCCCTCTAAAAGGGAATGACTCTCAAATCTCACCAGTTCTTTCCTAGGCCCAGGTTCCATGTAGTAGGCATAAGGGTATGTATACTGTAAGGTGTAACGGCACTGAAACAAGAGAAGCATCAGCATGATTTATTCAAGGTAGTTCAAATGAGGAGAACATTCAAAGTAGTTCAAACGATACAGCAAGGTATGGCTTGTTACAATTGGAAACCAATGTAGCAGCCTTGGCTGCTGGAACCCTACCAAAGTGGGGGAAAAGAAAGAAAATAAAAAAAAGTGTATGGGCATATGCACCCACGAAAAATCTATGACACACGGGGTACGTCCCAAAGCCACATGATTATTAGAGGCGTCTTAGTGGAAAGCTCCAAAAATTTCGACCACCTGGGGTTCTTTAACGCGCACTTAAATCTAAGCACACAGGTTTTAAGCATTTTCACTTCTATAGAAAAAAGGGGTGTTGCTGGAGTTAACGTTCTGAGAAGTGGTCTTGTCTTGTTCAAAGAAGCAACCGCCTTGAATAAGACAACACTACACTCCAACCTCGATATAACGAATTCAGATATATGAAAATATTGGTTATAACGAAGTAAATGAATAGCCTTGCAAAGGATATAGCTCTAGGAACACAGTTGAACCTTTTTATAAGAGACATGCAGCAGGCAGTAATTACTGTCTTTTATATGAGGTGTCCACTATAAAAAGAATACCATGAATGCATTTTCTTATTAACCCTTATTTTGACGTAGGCACACACACTCTAATACCCAACTGCCTGTTGCATCGGTCTCTTATGAAGGGGTTCGACTGTATACCTTTATAACAAATTTTCGGATATAACGAACTCATTTTCACTTAAGACACAGCCTCATTATACAGTGGACTTTTATTAAACAAAACCCGGTTAAACAGAAAAGCCGCATAAACGAAACTATGTAGGCTTATTTGGTTGGTCCCCAATATATTTAATGATAAAAAGTTTCGTGTAATCGGAACATTTTTTTCCGCTTGCATCGGTTAAATTAAGCTAAAACGGGCAAAATCCATGAACAGCGGAAGTGGCCACGGCAGTCTAGTAATCATGAAGCAAATGCCAAAGCTAGCCTAGTCAAGCCAATCCAGTGATTGCACATATCCACGCAAGCAGAGCAGCAATCGACGCCTCGTCGTGAACTTGAGGACAGCCTTGAGGAACCTATAGCTGATGTTCAAGATCTGGACCTTTGCTCAAGTGGTGATGAGATGGTGTGTGGTCCCGAGCTCATTTCAGTGGCTGACAGTGCAGCAAGAGATGCTGTCATCCTGTCGCAGAGCTACTTTGTACACGATGGTGGCACAATGTTCCTGCCCAGCCTTTCAGTAATGCACTCCTACTACAGTAAAACCCCGTTAATTTGGACTTCACGGGACCAGAGAGAATGAACAAATTAACCAAGGGTACGAATTACTGCAAGTACAAACAAAACACTTGAAAAATGTCTCCTACATCTTCAGACTTTTATTTCTTAATTAAAAAAAGCCCGATTGCGGTTTACTTCGCGGACGCAATGTGCGACAAAGTCCCAATTTTGTCAAGTTCCAGCAGGTGGCTTAGTCCGCACACACTGTGCGAGGAAAGCATGCGTATGTCCTCCAAAACAACCAATGCATGCGCAGTGTCCGTCATAGCGTGACGTGGACGCTCGTCAGCATCACTTACGTCCTCGTCAGTTGATTCCCCTTCGCCATCCAAGACTTCGGTAACGATATCACTGTTGGTGACTGTGCTGGCCACGGCAACATCGCTCTCAGTTGCGAAGTAATCGCCCAGGGGCACATCAGCTTGCATGACGCTCTTCGCCGGTTTCCTCATCGGCCACCACCACGGGATCAGCAGCGTCGTGCACGAAGCTGCTATGCCTAACGCCGTTTGCGACTACTGCAGGCGGTGTGTTGTTCCACACGTATGTCAGCATGTGGATTGCTCTTATCAGGCTTACTTCATACTGCTTGCCTGACTCCATGCAGAGCAACATCCGCTCGAGTACCTGCCGTCGATAGCGGCTTTTCACGAACTGTATAATTCCCTGGTCCATCGGCTGCAAGGAAACTGTTGTGTTTAGAGGCAGGAATAGCAGTTCATTGTTCTCGAGCCCAGACATCTTTGTGTGCACACTACAGTTATCTAGCACGAACAACACCTTCTGAGCCTTGGCCGCAAAGCGGCGGTCGAGCTGATGCAGCCAGGCTTGAAAGAGTTCGGCAGTCATCCAAGCCCTTCTGTTGAACCGGTAGTCGACGGGCAGCTGCTTAACATTCTTAAAACATCTTGGCTTCCCAGCCTTCCCGATCAGCAGCAGCGGCAGCTGCTCTGTGCCGGTCATGTTAGCAGCCAGAAGAACTATCACACGCTCTTTACTTCGTTTTCTACTGACACACGGGTCCCCCTTAAACGCGATTGTCTTGTCAGGCAGAGCCTTACAGAACAGCACTGTCTCATCAGTGTTGAAAATGTTGCACAGCTCATACGTAGAAAGGCACACGTATAGTCCAGCCTGCCAGTCCTGCACAACACTTTCGTCAACCGCACCTCTTTCACCACACACGTTGCGGGACACCAGCCTGTGTCGCTTCTTGAAGCGGTCGAACCAGCCTTTCGACGCATTGAAGAAGTCAATGTTTATGGTCACTGCAAACTTCTCTGCTTGTGCACAGATAAGGGGGCCATTCAAGGGCAAACGCGCATCGCACGAAATGGCAATCCAGCTCAACAGCGCTTCTTCTAGCTTAGGATGCGCTGCCGTTTGAAGCCTCTTCCTTTGGTCGCCAAACATGTCCCCGTCATACGCTTGCATAATCTGCTTTTCATTGTTCATGTAAGTGCTCAGCGTGCTTTTCTTCACATTGAACTTTTCCATCACTTCTTTTCGAACGCCTTTGCTTCGTACTTTGCCCCTTTTGCTGCAGGAGTTGGGGCTGCAGAAGACAGAGGGGAAGCCATCCCGGCCTTCGCTCGCGCTGTGGTCACGCGCCCGTGCACGAAGTAGACAACACACACACACAAAAAATGCACGGTGATAAAAACGATATAAAAACCGGCAAACTTTTTAAAAAACAGCAAACAGTAAGACTGCAGATGACACTGATCACGTACCGATAAATAATTTAAAGCACACTAGAGGTGAGCAATCCAACTCAATGCAAACAAGTTCGACGCGCAAGAAAAAAGGAAAGGCAAATCCGTAGGTTGCCCGTCGTTGATGACAGTAGCGATGCACTGCCTTCCATTTTAGTTGTTTAAACCACCACGTGGTTTTTTTTTTGGGGGGGGGGGGGGGAGGTGGCCTTTGAGATCTCCTATTCATGGACGAATTTTGAATCTCGGAGGCCGCAATCCGATTCCGAAGTTGTTTAGGTGCGCCGTCGATTTGGCCGGCAGAATCCGCTGCTGCTTCCCAGTCGTGACTCGACAGCGGTCGGGCGTTCGAATTAATCGAAGCATGGCCGAATTTGTCTGAGTTAATGAGAATTTTCAGTCATAAAACAATGTAAATTTTGGACAGGACCAGATGCCGTGGCCGAATTGACCGAAATTCCAAATTAATGAGGTCGAATTAATGAGATTTTACTGTATGTGAAACAGTTCTTGAACAAGGACAAGCAAATTGTTATCACCTCTTTTTTTTCAAGTCAGCAATATTAGCAACATTTTTTTTATAATCAACTATATTAGTATTGTATACTTCAAAATGTTTTTGTTTAATTAGCCACAGTTAGTGCTTTTGAAATAAAGTAATATTTCGTTCATTTTGTGGGCTTTTTAAATTAAACTTCTCATAAGTGAAACAAATTTTCTTGCTTCCAAGATCTTTGCGTCAGGGAGTAGCTATAGACGCCGTAGCAGCGATTCCCGACCTAAAACGCAACTGAGAGATGAATAACCATCACTTTTATTGATTTATATCACTAGTATCTAGCACTATTCAAAACGGCCGGCAATCCTGCCATTTCTAGTGCTGGGAACACCAGCAGTGGCGCTACCTCGCGGTCACCTCCAGATCATGCCACAGCTGACCACTTCTCCACAGAAAAAAGTGACGTCAGGCGCAGCTGCTTCGCAAACATTTCGTCTGCTAGGCCGACACATTCAGTCATGCCTTGTCACCTGCATTGCTGTCGTCGCCCTACAAAGTGTCGACTCGGGTTCAATACGATAGTCTGGAACTTGGAATCCCAGCGATTCGCGACGTCGCGAATTATTTTTACTTTGATCGACCTTTTGCAGAACAGTGATTCCGAAACGGACGCCGTTCTAAGCAGCACTACAGAGGTGTCCGAGGATGCACGCTTCAGCCATGTTTGCTCGTATGTCTCAGTTAGCTATATTGGTGTGTTCTGGCATGCAAAGCATTCAGGTATACAAAGAGGGCTCAATGCAATACAGTCAAAACCGGCAATATCGAAACCTCGCGAGTACGAAATCCCCGCGGCAACGAAATATTTCCGGATCCCCGGCGAACGTTCATAGAAGCCCATGTATTACGTATCTCGCGGCAATGAAATGTTTTTGAACAGCGATTCCGCAATAATGAATTTTCCACCACGATGCAGGCCTTATTTTACCCTCCCGCCAAAGGTTAACCGTCGAAAATATGCTCTTATGTGTGTTATGTGCACTCAAAATTTGTAAACGTCTGCTTTTGCCGCGCTAGCGTGGGTACCGCCATTTTTGTTTACTTAAGGGGGGACGCGGCCAGTGGCGTAACTAGATAGGACGGCGCCCAGGGCAAATATATTTCCGCGCCCCTCATTATGCCCGTGATAATGTTTGTTATTATTATTATTATTAATAATAATAATATTATTATTAATAATAATTATTACTACAGCTCCTATTAATAATAATATTATTATTATTAATAATAATAATATTATTATTAATAATAATTATTACTACAGCCCCCCCCCCCCCATTAAAAGCGCTAATGTAGGCTTCCGCGATTGCCTACTGGCGCGCGGCGGGCCATTTCGGAGGCCAAGGGCCACCAGTTCTGATTTCGATGAGCTACGCCCGCGTTTTTGTATAGTATTTTTCTTTTTTTATTCAAACTTCCGGAAGTCCC